TATATATATATATATATATATATATTTATATATATATACAGGGTTACCGGCGTTCGGGACGGGCCGAACGCCCGAACCCAAACGCCTGAACGTACGGGACCCCTTCGGGAGGCGTTCGGCCGTTCGGGCCGAACGCGGACTAGAAAAAAAAAAAATCATTTTAAAAATTCCGAAATAAAACTATGTTATGGAGAAAAATAAACTAAACAACATTTGCTTCGGCACTACATTCAAATTTTTTACCAAATTTGAATTAAAAATCCAATACAGAAAATAACCACTATCATAAAAATAAGAAAAAATAAAAAGAGAATTAAAATGAGTGAGTGTGCCAGCACCTTTTCGACACCGCCATCTTTACCGATTTTTAATTATTTTTGGGCATTGCCAAATGCCCTGAAAATTTACAGATATGTAGTTTACATAATAAATAAATCATTAAAAAGTTTTCAAAAAATAATAAAGTTTTTTAGGCCCCGAAATAAGGTGAAAACAAAAAGTTAAAAGTTAAAGAAAAACAAAATAGTGAGTGGGCGAGCACGTGTTGACACCCTCATCTTTGACGATTTTTAATGTTTGTTTGGCTTAGCAGAATGGCTTCAAAATTTATACGCATATAGTTTACATCATAGACGACTCACAAAAACAACTTCAGAAAAAAAAACTTATTTTTAGGCCCCGAAATATTTTTTGGCGGGGGCCAAACTTGGAGGTGTTCGGCCCCCGAACGGGACCCCGAACGCCTGAACGTTCGGGGGCCAGCCCGGGGGGCCCCAAACGTTCGATCAGTTAACCCTATATATATATATATAAATATATATATATATATATAGGGTTATCGGCGTCGGGACGAGCCGAACGCCCGAACCTGAACGCTCGAACGTACAGGATCCCTTCGGAAGGCGTTCGACCGTTTGGGCCGAACGCAGACCAAAAAAAAAAAAAAAAAGTTTTCAAAGAATTTCGAAAAAACAAATGTTATGTAGAAAAATAAACTAAACAACGTTTACCTGGCACTACATCCAAATGCTTTACCAAATTTGAATTAAAAATCAAATACAGAAAATAAACACTATGATGAAAATAAGAAAAAATAAAAAGAGAATCAAAATGAGTGAGTGTGCCAGCACCTTTTCGACACTGCCATCTTTGCGGATTCTTAATTAGTTTTTGGCACTGACAAATGCCCTGAAAATTTACAGATATGTAGTTTACATAATCAATAAGTTACTAAACTTTTTTCAAAAAATAATGAATTTTTTTAGATTCCGAAATAAAGTAAAAACAAAAAGTTAAAAGTGAAAAAAAACAAAATAGTGAATGGGCGAGCACGTTTTGACACCCCCATCCTTGACAATGTTTAATGTTTTTTTGGCTTAGCAGAATGGTTTGAAAATTTATAGGCGTGTAGGTTATATCATAGAGAACTCACAAAGAAAATTTAAAAAAAAAAAACTTATTTTTAGGCTCTTAATTTTTTTTTGGCGGGGGCCGAACCTGGAGGTGTTCGGCCCCCGAACGAGACCCCGAACGCCCGAACATTCGGGGGCCAGCCCGGGGCCCCCCAAACGTTCGGTCAGGTAACGCTATTTATATATATATGTATACAGGGTTACCAGCCCATACATACGGAGGTCCCTGGGCAGACCTCCGTACGTACGGGTGTTCGGGGTCCCGTACAGGGTCCGAACCCGACGGCGTTCGGGCCCCGCTAAAACTTATTTCGAGGCCTAGAAATATATATTTTTTTTTGACTTTTTTTTGTCAGGTCTCTATGATGTGAGGTACACGCCTATAAATTTTCAAGTCATTTCGCCCATCCAAACAATAATTAAAAATCGCCAAAGATGGTGGTGTCAAAACCTGCTTACCCATATTGTTTTTCACTTTTTGCTTTTTGTTTTCACTTTAGTTTGGGGTCTATACAATTTTATTATTTTTTGAAACTTTTTTAGTGTGTTTTGCATTATGTGAAGTACACATATGTAAATTTTCAGTGCATTTAGCTGTTCGAAAACAAAATGAAAAATCGCCAAAGATGGCGATGTCGAAAACGTGCTCGCGAACTCACTAAATTTAATTCTTTTTTATTTTTTGTTATTTTTATTATTAGTATTTATTTTTCGTATTTTATTTTTATTTCACATTTAGCAAGGAATTTGGATGTAATCACCAGGCAAATATTGTTTAGTTTATTTTTCTCCATAACATATCTTTTTTTCAGATTTTTTCTAGGCTACCAGAGTGGCCCGGGGTCACTTGCCCCGCCGGCCCAAAATAATTAAAAAAAAAAAAAAGTAAATAAAATATTTTTAAATTTTATTTTTTATTTTAAATTTGGTGAAAAATTTCGATGTGACCCTGAGGCAAAAGTTGTTCAGTTTATTTTCCTGCATAACATAGTTGTTTTTCAGAATTTTTGGAGTTTTTTTTTTTTTTTTTTTTT